GAGAAAGAGAAACAGTGCCCTCATGATCTAAGTCTTCCAGGAAACATCACCATTCCTTGCTTATATGCATAATTTGGTTTCTATATTGCCTACACCGTGCCTTGCAAGAATTGGGTCATATTTTTCTGAACAAGAATCCTGCAACAATAATTTTGGTTACTTCTATACATTTTACTTGCTTTTGCCGCCCATCTAAATGGGTGGATTGATTTGATTCCTCTTCTCTTGACCTTTTCTTCTGTCTTCATTTTTGCACTTCATGATTTCTTATCCAACTTTATACCTGTTCATCAAACTCTTGCTCATGTGTATCTTACACCGAAGATGATTTCCTATCCATTTTTTTTTGTGTGTGTGCTAGTTCATATCCACAATATTGTTACTCTCTGGGTTATCTTGTCACTCTCTGAATATTGTTGCTCGTTTGTATCTTCCACTGTCAGTGTGATGCACAGTATGCCACATATTTCTGTCAATCCATGTTGCATTGGTTTCATTTTCTTTTCTTATTTGCTAATCTCCAGTGTCTTCCCGTAGTTTGGTGTTGCAAAAGTTTTGGTGGATGGGATAATAATGACTACTTTTGATTGTAGGGCTCTAGAAGAGGGGGATTCATCTCCACCTTGTATGGGGGAGGTTTTTAGATGTTTGGGGAAAGCGTCTCGTGCAGCCTTGTGTGCTATTGCAAGACATCTTCGTCTGCGCAGCGAGTAATCACAATATTAATACTATTGTTTAATAAATCATGATATTCGTTACTCCCATTCACTATTCACAAATACGTTTACTTTCTCTCTTTTGTCTGATTTTTGTTTTTTGCTCTCCCTTGGCAGTGTTTTTAACCAATTGCTGGATGATACACCTTTACCTCCCAATGAGGCATCTTCCTCAGTACTGGTTGCAACTTATTCTCATGCTTCTGTACAGAATGGGAAGGTGGCTGTTGGTGGAGGAAAGCCTGGAATGAACTATGAAGTGGAGAAAGGATTGCTGACCTTGATTGCTTCAGACTGTCCAGGACTTCAGGTGATTATTTTCTCCTTAGTAGATAAAATTGTGTCTCTGATGTTGTCATTATCCAGTAGACATGCATATTCCAATTTTGAAGAAGGAAGTTTGTTGATTTCCTTGTTATTATTTTACTCTTTTATGGGTTATTGTAGTCGCTGATCATCAATATTGTGTTTAGTATGATCCTCAAATCATCTTTACAGTTGGTTCTTCTGTAGGTTTGTGACCCAAATGGCCGTTGGTATGTAGCAGATGGTGGATCAGGGCCTGGGGATATTTTATTGCTCACAGGCAGGGCTCTCAGCCATGCCACTGCTGGCCTCCGGCATGCTGCTTCTTATAGGACAGCTCCTGACTACACATCAGGCGCCATGACTGGTGGCAGGTTGAATTTACATATGCAATGCTCACATTTTTCCTTCTATTTGCTTTGTAAACATTATTTATGGAAAAGTTTGATACTTTGGTTTGTTGGTGTTTTTACTTTTAATGATTTATGATCACGTTTGCGTGAGAAACCTTTGTGCTAAGTACGGTCTGTGATATTTGTGTTATACTGTTGTTATTGCAGGACTTCTTTGGCATTTAGACTCATGCCCCAAGGCAATGCAATATTGGACTGTTCCCCAATAACAGCAGCTGGTCATGTTATCCCACAGAACTTTGTGCCCATCACTGTAAGCCAGTTTATGGATGATCTATCTGCTGAAGATGATGCAATGTGCAACAACCGTGCAGAAAATACTTACGTAAGTTAGGATGCACTTATTTTATTTGGATAACTCAAATGTTGATTTGCTTCAACTACTGAGTTAGTGGTCCATAAGTTTATTCTGAATCACTTTGTTTTGATAATATCTGTATCGTCTTTTGTCCTAACCTGAGCTGACAGATGCTGAGGGTGTAACGATCCTTTCAAGGATCCGGCCACTATTAACTATTCATTATGCAGATCTCCTTGGAGACTTAAGAGCATTATTTGGAAGTAGACATCTAACAACAAAACTATTTCTATTGTTTAGTCTAGGATTGTCTGGAAGGCTTCCCTTCTTTGCAGTAAGGGATATTTTTCATAGTTGTATTCTTGATGGTAAATATCTGGTTTTGCTGGCAAGTTCTATGAGCTTTCCAATTATTTGATAATGCTTTTCTACTGCATCAAAAGTTTCATTATTCGATCAATGCCTGGAATATCAACCAAATGTTTTGAGAAAGGGGTTGGGTGTCATTTTGAGGAGCTTGGAGAGGTTGTTGGTTATCATGAGAAAAACTGAAATTGTGGGCTTGCCCTTCCATGGGGTAATTTGGATGGTGGGTCTCATAGTCAGATAGACCTAGTTATGACTTCAGAAAACTGAGTCCCAATATTAATGGGATGAGAGTTGCATTTCCCCGTACAGGCATAACGGGCCCTCTGAGGCTGGCTGTAGTCTGTAGCCTGGTCTTGCCTGATTACATTGTCTGCTGGTGTTTCTATTCCATTCAGATTTGAGAACTTTTGCCTGGGATGAGATTGTTTTACTAAAAAATGCTTGAGTAATAGTGACAACCTTTTTGGTGAAGGTTTATGCATGACTTACAGAAAATTCAGATGATGAAAAGGGAAATCAGCGTGGCTGGAAGAAATATTTGCTGCCTGGGGATTGAGACTGAAACAGGAGTTAAGATTGCTAGGTTGGAATCTATGAAAAATGGAGTAGACATTCATGAAGGCTAAATTTAAGGAACAATTCTTTTGTGATTATTTCTCTTACTTTGGTGTTACTTATGCAAAAGGGCATCAACACTATTAGGAGTCCTATTCTTTGGCGAAAACATAGTAGCTTGATTGGTTCACTATTTTAAGAGTGCAATTGATGTTTAGTTTGATGGGTTGGCATTGAAAGAAACAGTCTCGCTTTAATATTGCCAGCTTTTTTGCATGGGGATGTCAATATTGTCAGTAGCAAGTTGTATTGTGTCTCAGTACAACTCTTAAAATAGTGGGTTGAGAGCAAATATTATTTCAAATAGCATGGAATGCTATACTAGTTATCTCCTATTTATAAAGATATATTACTTTGTCTTGAATCAGTCTCCTCCAAATTCCATTGTATGAAGTTTGCTGTTAAGTGGTGTGGTGCAATTTAGCTTTGGGTTCTTCTTGTTTGTGTTGATTTAGGATCTTCCGCTGTTAATGGTGAAGCTTTTTCAATCTTCTTTATTAATTAATGGATGTATTTGTGCATCTTGTCATGTATTTATGATTGGTTAGCGATGAGTTCATTGTTCTGCATGAGTCAGTTGTCCCTCTTCTATGTTATCATCTCTAAGAACTTTTTTTCTAGAATTTGTTAAAAAGAATATTCTATCCTGTTTGTCTTGTACACTTTCTGTTCATTTTTAGATAATTATGCTCGATATTGTTTTTGGGTGACAGGAACCTCGGAATAACATAACTCCAGAGCCAACATTGAGGAGTGTTCTCTGGGATCCCCTATCGTAAGTAATTTCGTAGTTTTGAGTCTTCAAGTTTGTGAATGCAACCTTTTGTAATTTTGATAGTCTTAAGTCTGTTCCTGCTCATGGGTTGGGAGCTTCTTGTTAGTTCCCTCCTCTTCAGTGTGTACTTTGTATGTCAGAACTAAAACTTACCCATAGAAGAATTGGAGGAGCAGATGCATAAAAAATAATAATGAAATGTGTACCATCTTGTGAGTTGCTTTTCAGCTGTGGAATAGGGAGGAGGAGATCTTGTCGTATTTGCTTGCATCCCCCTCTCTGCCCTTCTCCTTTCCTTTCTTTTGTTTTTTTGGAAGATGTTCCTGACTCCAAAATACATATTTACAAGACAATGAAAGAAACGAGAGAAATCATGTTCTAATATATTCAATAGTATCTCCTTTCCTCTATCAAAGTAACAGTATCTCCTTCCTTAGGAACCTTATATGTATTGTCTCCAAAATTCTGAACTGACAAATCCCTTGTCTTGTGAATCGTATTTCATGCTCCTTTATTTTGGTTGGTTGCTCTTCTGTATTCTTGCTGATCTGATAGCCTTGATTTTATGACAAACTTATTCTCTATCTTTCATTCTGATATATGTATTTTGTTAAGGGAAGTGGCCTGTTTAGGTACTTAAAAGGATGTGTAATTCGTTTCCTCCTTTGATACTCTTCTTCCTTCTCTTATTGGAGCTAATTTGATGGACTATTTTGGTTTTTCTGCTCTCTTTAATTTGGATGGCTGTTATCTACTGTGTCACTTGAGATGGCAAGCTAACTTGTTTCGTTTGGAAGTTTTTTGTGGCATATTGATGTACGCACTAACTGTTCTCTAGATCTGTTGTACAATTCTGATCTCTTCCTTGAAACCTTGACCATAGCTTCCTGTCTCCCCGAAAGAGAATTTTTCAAGCTATTGAACACAACCTATGTGATAGATTTGGACTGAGATGCAGTCTCGGTCCTAGATTTCAGTGGAAGGATATATTCCATAGTGACCTCTCTACTCCCTTTCTATGGTCTTATGCATATTATGCTAGCCAGATAACTCATAAAAAAAGGCCAGATAGATAGTTTCAGAAATCACAATATATACTGAAACTTCTATATGCAATATTAAGCCATCCAAATTATGATCGATGGCAACTGACCTCATTGTTGGAACTTCTGAATGAAGTTTTATTCAGATGGGCATACGATGAAGAGGTTTGGCCTTGTTTGGGACTTGGGACTGATCGAGGCTTTTCCTTTAGAGCTTGCATACTCCATCTTGTGATTCCTTTAATTGCTTTTCTACTATCAATTGGGTTGTCTTAGAAAATCTCTGCGTAGTGGATGGTGTATCCTTTTTCGAGATAGTTGTTCATATTCATGGAAAGCATGGGGTGCCTATATGGATTTTCAACATATTGTTAGTGATACATGAACATCGACAAGACTATTGGCGTCTACAAATGTCCAATGTGTCTATTACTGTCCTAAAAAGCGGACAAGGCTAGACACCTCCATATGAATATATTATAATATAAATAAACTTTTTTACACAATATAATATCCTTCTCAATACATAATAATAAGTGGATGAGAAGGCGATAGAGGACCGTAGGCCAGGAGGCCTTGAGTTCAAACCGTACCATCAGCCCCTACCCAATGCTTAATTGTTTATAATCTACCCAGGTGTAGTGTTAACATGGGACACCAGCCTAGATGAAGTGCTGTGGTAACAGTGTGTATAGTAACTTAGTAAGTTCTAAAGCTTCTCTGTGTACTGTATAATGGGAGCACCATCTTTTGTGCTCTGCATTACATGCTATAAAAATATTACCCATCAAAGGAGCTGACTATGTCGAATTTTTAGTAGTAGTGGAATATTGCTGCTCGAGTAAAGAAATCAAGAGTTCTGAGTTGTCTTTCAATGCTCTCTTGTGCTGTAAATTTTATTAAAGTGACTAAAATGTTTGTATACCATATCCATCTTAGAAATTGGTTTTTAGCAGTTTGTCTATTGATTATGGTGAAGGCTAGAATTTTTTTCCATCTATCGCTTGAATTATGCTGTAGTAACATTGTTCTTTCCTTTGGGTTGATCTGGACAATTTGAAAGCTCAAATGTTGGTATATGCTACTGAATATATGGAAGCTTACTATTTGCTTATAATTATATGATGTTGCCAGTGGTGCGTTCCTTGAAGATGCCATGGTGGTCTCCTGTGGGCATTCATTTGGTGGTCTCATGCTGAGGAAGGTCCTTGAAATGGTAACAAATGCTCCTGTCTTAATTTGTAACGCAAGAGATATTGCAAAACATTGGAAAACTGTGCATATTAAAAACCAAAGCAAAATACCTCCGAAACAGAACAGTTTATAAGCAGAAGATATTGTGACCAACTGATGCTATTCCCCTTCCCACCCACCCCCTCCCCCAATCACCAAGTATAATGAACACTACAACCTCAATGACTCTTTCTGATCACATCCAATATAGAGAATAAAGATTGCATTAAGTGTTTTCACGAGTCATGGCCCAAGGTGGATTGGTCATTCATGACAATGTTTTGCCTCCATGTATACATTTTATCAAAATCCTTCTTTTACCTTTGAAAAGTCTGATGGCTTTTTTTTTCTGGACTGCTATTACAGCTTTCATTAATTAGTGCGTTTTCTTAACCGGTTGGGAGGTACCATTTTGCATATGTGCTTCAACCTTTGTAGTTTTCTTTTTATTTTCCATGGTTCTAATTGTTCTTATTGCCATTTGCCCCTGGGTTTTCTGACATGCATATATAACCATGGATGTTTATCCTGCACTCCTTTGACCTTATTAATGATAAGTTGCCTTAATGGTGAAACATGGCAGGATGCCATTGTCTTAGTATGTAGGAAATCTTGGAATTGCTACAGACACTCTGATTAACATGACCATCATATCTTTTGGATTATTTATTACGTATTATTGCTTATAACCAAATGTTTGGAATTTCCTTCTAAAGTCCAACTTTCTAATACTGGGATGGTTACTGTGGGGTTTAATTTTTGTATTTCTAAGCGATAATATTTCAAAAATAAGATATCTGTGCATTGTTTTGCCATTGAACTACTAAATGTGGCTCTGAAGAGGAACTAAATATGGTGTCCTGTTTGTTTGGTAGTCAAGATGCAATATTTGTGGTGCAGAGATTGATGGTTCCACTCTGATTCCAAATCATGGTAAGATGCGTGTTAGCTATAACAATTGTCATATGCTCAAAAATTTTTTTTCCCAAGAACAAATAGTTGTTCTGTTTCTTCTAATTTCTGAAGAAGCTGAATTTTTTCAACTAAAAATAAAAAAATGGCTGATGTCTTTTTACAGCTTTGAGAGCTGCTGCTGCTGCTGTAAAACATGAGGATGATAGAAGGCTATTCCACAATGCAACACTTCGAAAGCGCCGAAAAGAAGCTGGGGAACATACAGATGCAATCAAGAGGCTTAACAAGGTATTCATGCAAATTCGAAACTCTTTCTTATGTGTATCTCCTTTTATACTCCTTCCTCGAGAAAAGAAACAAAAGGAATGAAGAAGAAATTCAACAATCAGCAGTAACTAAACTTTTCTGTTATTGTTTCTTCCAGAGAGATGCCAGGGTTGAAAAATTGCTTTATCTCATTGAAAAGAAAATGTTTGTGTTTGCAGTTCCTGTTGCCTTTGCCTGACTTTTCAACATTGATCTCACAGGAAAATGGGGATATGGGTGCTGATGGAGATGGTCCTCGACACCTAAAGGGAGTCCAGTATCCATTTGCAGTAAATGAGAAAGTTCTTATCAAGGTACTGTACACACTCAGATATTAAGTTCTGGTAAAACCTCTCCGTGTAAATTCTTATTGAGGGAACTAAAGGAAGACTAATTATGCAGGGGAACAGGAGGACTCCTGATAAATTCGTGGGAAGGGAAGCAGTGATCACATCTCAATGTCTCAACGGCTGGTGAGTTTGTTTACTTCTCTTACGGCCAGAATAACCTCAAGATGGAAAACTATGGAAAGCCATTCTTTATGCAAATTATGAATATAACTTGGAACTATTGTGCACTAGTAATATCTTGTCTGTGTGGGAACTTTAGGATCTTTTTTGGTGGAAATAATGATCAAGTGTCTTCTGGTTTTACTGTGGTTTGTACTTTTGCCTTTTGTTGTCTTTTTATTTCTCTGTCTCTTGGGCTTTCTGGTTGATTGCCAAAAACTCCTCAATCACCATGTTACCCTCAAATTCAACCCTGTTTTCAGATTCTCATTTTATTGTGGTATTTGACTTCCATTAGAACCTTTTTTGTTTTATTACAATTGCAATATAATTTAACTGCATGAAGGAAAATGCAATTTTGGTTGCAGGTACCTGTTGAAAATTCTTGACACGGGGGATAGCGTGCGCTTGCAATACCGTTCTCTTCACAAGTTGCAGAGCTCTCAAGGAGAAGACAGGATTCAGTCGCAGCCACTCATCCAAAACAACCCAAGCTGACACCTAAGTTCGTCTTCCTTCCGGATTGACATTGTTGCCATAGCCATGCTTCAATTTTAAGGTTATAGATCCACTGTTTTTTGTTTTTCTTTCTAATTTATGTTTTCACTTTCTTGTATGTGAAATTAGTCAGAGATGGGAATGTGCAATAGACTTGCCTTGCTATCATTGTAAATTGGTAGAAAAGGAAAAATCTGTACCAAAAACTGAGAGCTGAAGTTAACAAGAGTTCGACAAGCAGGTGCAACACAGTTGTTGAATAATTCTCGCTCAACTCTCTCTGTCTCTCTCTTCTCTCTCTCTTTTATTCTATAATTCCTAACCCCCTGATTTTGCAATTCAATCATAGTTGCGTAGAGGTTATATTAGTTGAGTTTCCTTTTTTTTTTTTTTTTTTTTTTTCTGGTTTTGGGAAGATCATGTGTGGTTTTAAAACTTTGGAGACTTGGGATGATGCATTTACCTATTTTCCATCATGGGTAGGGGTTTTTTGTTTCATTGATGGCCTCTTTCAAGTGTGAGCTGCAGATAATTGAATGTGCGGTTGTTGCTATTGAGAGAGAGATGTTTAAAAGGAAGAAACGATCCGGACGGTACGTGAAAATAAAAAGATGAAGCAAGAGAGAATAGAAACAAAGAAAATGCACTTGTACAGAAGCTTCTAAAAGTTGATACAGCATTCAATCAATCTCTGGTAAAGAATGTTACAATGCACTCAAGTCTACATGGACTGCAGCAGCAATCGCTGCCAAAGAATTCGTCACATTGCAGAAAGGGAAATACAGGATTGTTATTTTACACGTACTGTAATGTAATGCTAACTACCAGTGCCACGAGAAAAGTAAAGTTTTGAGCAACCACATGCTGAGAAGCACGCCTCCGACATCTACTAGCCTCGTCCCATTATTGGGATGGGGATTCTGAGGACACAGACCAGGATCGACAGGAGGGAAAGGGATATCCGGAGATGGGTAGTCGGGAGGGGGAGGAGGTGGGTGATGATGCGGTGTTGGTGTGGGCGGTGGCCGGGGCTGGGGCGGGCGCGGATGCGGATGCGGATGCGGATGCGGATGCGGGGATGGAAACCGATCCTCTGAGTTGCGCCTGGGGCTCAGCATGGGGTCTTGTTGGATATTGGGTGAATTGGAAGGGTCGAGATGGGGCGGAGAAGTTAAGGTCCCACCCAGCGTAGGCTTAGCAAGGTCTTCCTCAGGTTGTTGATGGCGATAAGGGGAATTGTGAGGGGCAAAATGGGGAGGAGGTGCCTTGCGGGTCCCACTCTTTACTGAGTCAGCTGTGTCCTGCATGGCGTTAGGTGTATTGTCAGGGTGAGGAGGAGAAATGGGGTGGGGCCCACTCGAATCTCTGTATACCAGGTCCTGTTGGGGATTTGGGGAATTGACATCAGGGCCAAAAGGGAAAGGAGGAGCCAAGTGGTCCCCACCGGGCGCTGAGGCAGCAGGGTGATCGTCTTTGGCATGAGCTGGAGAAGCCAAGTGGGATGGTGGGGCCCGAGGAGAATGCTTGGGGGTGGGTCCTGCCAGGGTGCGGACGCTGAGCCTCATGCCCTGGGAGCAGTGGTCGGAGACGGAGCAGATGAAGAAGCGGGAGGCGTTGGGCGTGGTGAGCGGGACGAGGGTCGTGCCCTCGATGTGAGGGTGGTGGTGGGGATGCGTGGCGGAGCAGGAGTTGAAGGCGTCTTCATTCACCTCAACCACGTTGTGGTCCGGTCCATGCATGAATACTGCTCCCACAATAGGCACACGCCCAATTAGCTTTTCATATCTTCAGCTCTCTCTCTCTCTCTCCATGTTATCTTTCACTTCTCTCTCTAGTTAGCTCTCCCAAGTATCACTTGATGCATGCCCTCTGTGTCTCCCCCATAGACGCACGCGCACACACTCTCTCTCTCGAAGATTGATATCTTCACTTTTCTCTCTCTCTAGTTAGCTCTCCAAGTATCACTTAAATGCATGTTCTCTCTCTCTTTCTTTCTCTGTCGCACAGCTTGATATTTTACCTCTCCAGGTATCACCTATTGCATGTCTCCTTTCTATCTCTCTCTAAGCTTGATATTTTACCTCTCCAAATATCACCTGATGCATGTCATCTCCCTCTCTCTCTCACTCAGCTTTGATTTTCACCATTCTTTTTAGCTCTCTCCAAGTATCACCTAATATGCAGGTCCTCTCTAATATGCATGTCGTCTCTCTCTAAGCTTGATATATTCACCTCTCTAGCTGTCTCCAACTATCACCAAATGCATGTTCCTCTTCCTCTCTCTCTCTCTCTGTCCCTCTCTTTTGAGCCTTACTTGTCTATGTCAGATTTCATTGTGGAGGATAATCTCTACCAAATTCACTTACCCAACATGACAAAATCTACCAAATTGTCACGAACTAATAGAGACGCAGAGAGAGAGAAAGCGAGAGTTCTTTAATATAATGATGTAATCAAATTAATTGATGAAGAGAGAGAGAGGAGAATACTTTAATCGAACTAATTCACACGAGAGAAAGACTGGTTACGACGATGAAACTATTGATGATTTTTTTTTTCGTGTCAACTGTGTGATTTAACCACGGAAAGGTAACAATGCAAATTGGAAACCATGGTATACAGCTTTGAGGCTCACTTAAGTTGTCCCCTGGATAGAACAGTCTCTGTGAAGCCCATTGTTCCATATCCACGCCCAGTTCCCAACCTGAATCACCTCCCACTACGTGATCCTTCGCTGCACCACATACATAACACAGCCACCACAATAACACTGCCATTAACCATGTCTTCGTCTTCATCTCTCTCTCTCTTGAATGAACCTGCAAAAAAAATCTAAGATATCAGTGACCTTTCAAATAAGCGAAGGAAAGATAAGTAAAGAGGGGATTCAAATAAGCGAAGGAAAGACGAGTAAAGAGGGGGAGAGTTCAACTAAAAAATTGAAGAAATGGGAGGGAAAACTGAAATGCTTTCATTGTCCCACAGGAGCAGACTGCCTGTTCGATCCCTCAAGAAAGCTAACATTGAGGATCCCAAAAATTAATGGGAGATATTCTCAATAATCTAGCTTCAACTCTAGGACACCCTTTTTACGACTCCTAGGACTTACATATAGATATAAGTTATTTGTTTTTAAGATTGATTTTGGACAAATTATAATGTAGATATGAGTTTTTTTTTTTTTTAAGATTAATTTTGGACTAATTATAATCTCGAACATGAATGTGTTGAAAAATAAGTTTTATTTTTAAATATTGAAGATAATAATTTTATTAAATCATTGTTTATGCGTCCCACAAAGCGTCATTTGTCTTACGTTAGTAGCGTCCTCTGAAAAATCAGACCCCGTAAAAATGATCATCTCATCCAGGGTTGGCGTCCTCTGAAAAATCAGACCCCGTAAAAATGATCATCTCATCCAGGGTTGGTTTTTTTGGCATTCCAGAAAAAGGACGGTATTACCCTGACCTTTATGCTAAGACAAATTACCCCTTCTTTTGACAAAACCGCCCATCTGTATTAGTCGTCTACATTCTTTTACATACTGGTCTTTTTACAAGCAACAAATCCGTCTTTAGTTTAAAAGTGAGGGGCGATATGTGACTACATGAAAATTCCGGCTCATTCTTTTCTTGAATTAACAAAACCTTCCAGCCGCTTCTTTAAAAAAGCCCGCGAAATCTATTGCTCGCTTTTGATTTTTTTTTTTCTTATAAAAGCGAAGAAAAAGAGATTTATCAGTAAATTTAAACCTATTAACTGATTTTTTTTTTCCTTTCAAGAGTATAAATATCAATTAGCTGAATTACACCAAGCTAGTTATAAGCAGGACACGCATATCTTTTTGAGAAGCGGGAAATTCAATTCAATAGGAAATTGAATGTTTCCTCTATTTACATGAAAATTAAAAAGACGAAGAAAGATTAATGGATTAAACCTTTAGGTGCTTAACAAAAAAAAGGAGCAAAACCTCAGTATTTTCGGATTTAAAAAAGATAAAATGAACAATCAACTCAACCGAACGTGAATAAACTAGGAAAAAGATACGAAAATTTCTACAAGTGAAGATTTAGGAAAATGACAATTTAGGTGCATGGTTTTAGCAGATTAAAAAAAGACTAATCTTATGATAAACAAGATTAAACATGTAAAGTTAACAAGAATGAAGCACGACCTGCATATTAGTTTCTGTTAAGAAACTGCCAATCAAATTAAAAAAAACAAAAAAAAAAGATACATCTTCTCGATTTAAAGAAGCTAAACATGAGAGAAGAGATCCTTGATTCTGAAGTATAAAAAAAAAGATACATCTTCTCGATTTAAAGAAGCTAAACATGAAAGAAGAAATCCTTGATTCTGAAGTATATCCTTCTCTGAAACTAAGAACGGATTAATTAGAAGTTCGGAACCACTGTTTCAAATTTTCCATCAATAACGAGAAAATAATTCTGAAAGCACAGTAGATTTGAAAGATAGAGGTGAGTTTTGAATCTGAATCTGTAAGTCACAATGTTTTCCAATTTCTCTTGGTGAATCAACTGACTATCCATACAAGACTCAAGAAAGAAGAAAGATTGAAATTATCTAACCAAAATTGATTCAGTTAATTAAGACTGAGAAAGTTTCTTGAATTCAAAGCAAAATGGAGAGAAAGGAAATATTTCAAAATAGAAATCATCTTATTTCCAAAATCCAGATGAGATTAAAATGGTTAAGGAGTTGAATATAGTTGAAAAATCAGCAGCCTGAGTTTCTATTCCAAAAGCTCCATTTCAGTCTACAAGAAAACAAATCTAAAACAGTTATTGAATCAAAAGAAAAGTATACCATTATTTTCTAAATCTGAACACTGAAGATTAGGTAACTGTAAAATTATATACAACAATTTCAAAGCATTGCAGATTCCAAAATCTAAAAGATTTCAGATCGCCATAAAATTGAGAGCATAACACTTTTCTGGACACCATAATTGTCAGGATACTATAAATTCCAGAAAATAACAAAAATCAGAACAATATAGATTTCTTTGTTTAGAGGAAGAAGTCAAGTGACGAAAAAAAAGAAGCATCGATTCATTTATATTCTTAAATTAAAACTAAATCACAAACTTATTTCTCAATCAAAGTCACAGGACTGATTATTTTCTTCAAATGATAGAAAATGAAATCATTCACGAAAATTCTTGATCTAAACTAACAATGCAGCAGAAAGGGATGCTTCCTCCTCGGATTACTTCTCTTATGAGCTCAAAATACTGAAAAAAAGAACAGAGGATCGCATAGAGGAATGAAATAACAGTGGCTGATGCAAGAAACAGTGTTAAAAATAAATCGAAGAAAGCAAGAAAAATTCAATCAGAGAAGGAAGAAAAGGGAACGTGTTATACCTATTCACCGATTGGAGAATGAAAAGGCTTGGCTCTGCAATTTTTCTGAGAAATTTTTCTCGCTCGTTTATAGCGTTTGAAAGGGGAGGTGAGGGCAATTTTATAGGCGGCATCGGAATAACCAGGGCCAAAAGCGTAAAATGTCGTCCGATGCGAAACTATTTCTAGGAATTTTACTGAAAAGCTTCTACAAAAGGGGTCTATTTTTACTGCATATGCGCGAGATATCCGCCGTCAGAAATGAGATGGACGGTCGAAAGGATTTGGACTTTCAAATTCCAATGAATGACTGTACATGTGTATTTTTACTGCAAATGCCGAGATATCCGCCGTCAGAAATGAGATGGACGGTCCAAAAGATTTGGACATCAAATTCCAATGAATGACGTGGGCTATCGTTTCGTGCATATGTTCATCGCCACCGTTGGAATTAAGAACGGACGGAAAATAGGCTGGGAACGGTGCACATTTTGTGCTTCACGTCAGTGATTTTGTTCTCTCATCAATCCCCAAACCCCCAGATTCTGTCTTTCTCTCTCTAAGTCCTGTCTCTCTCTAGAATCCGCTACCCAGACTCTATCTCTCTAAGTTAGTTATTCCGGTGTCATCTTTCTCTCACATCCCCATTCGCGGCTCTCTTTGTCTCTCTAAAACCCTGTCAGTTATGGTAGTATTCTTTCTAAAACCTTGAATTATTTGAGCGCTGAGGGTCGTTTCTTTGACTCCCTCTCTCCCTCCAAAGCCTTCCTCGGAATCTAAATGGTTGATGATGGCTGTTTTCGTTCAATCCTGGCAGGCATTTTGCAATTAAATATAAAAAGACCACTAAAATGTTAAATAGTTAATGGGTGCGGTTTCTATCAGGATGCAACCTTAAACAATCCAATTAAGGCCCCTTTAAAATTTTATCTATGTAATTTTGTTATAAATTTTTTTAGTATTATCTTAAAATCTATTTTCATACCTAATTAAAAAAATTTAAATTTCAAAAATGGTTAAAATAAAGTAGATCTATAAATGTATAAAAATTTTGAAAATGGATGGTCTAGATAAGGTGTTGCAAGATGCACTATTTTCGGTACTCAAAAACTTTTTTTTTTCATATTCATACATCTCGATGTCGAGATGATCGATTAGAGGTTTTTTTCAACATTAAAACAACATTTCCGATAGATTTTTGAAGTGCATCTGTTATTCTACTAAGGTTGCAGCCTTATATAAACCTTTCCCATAGTTAATATCTTATATAATTTTGGTAAATTTCTCATTTTATATTGAGGTCGGAGCAATTTTGGGGTTTATAGTAGAGTGCCATTGAGTACTATTTCTTTCCTCGTTTTTATAGAACATTTATTGATTTTAATTAATCCCTTAAAAAATAAGGGAAATTAACTTAGTATATAATCCTCTATCTTCACTCTAAAAATTTTTGGCTTATGAAGAAAATAAAAAACTGTTATTTATAATCTGAAGAAAGGCAAAGATTTATGGTTTTGTTTTTTGTTTGTAGACGTTTTCGTTGTTATTTACCTCTTTAAGCATGTATAAGATTGGGCGTGCTTTTTTTTTTTTTTTTTTGGGATTTTATGCTGATGACTATAATGTGTCAGGCTTGTGCATTAGTACGGTGTGGTCACTTTTATAATGTATAATTGATTTTAAAAATGTCGGCTTGGCACCAAATTGTTTGCCCTGAAATTGGTCATTTCGTACCGATTATGTCAATACATTGGAAATCGTCTTGGTCTAGAAGAGAACCGGCGAGTGACGTTTTGCTAAAGTTAAAACGTTGTTTGGCTACAGTAAAAATACCTATTCATCGATCCGGATCTGGTTTGGGTTGGTTCACTATTTTTGCATGCGTTTTTTTGCCGGTTCACTATTTTTTTAGGTACAGTTAAATGGCACTCCGGACCCGTCAATTCACCAATCCAGACGCTGTTTGGCTACATTAAAAATACCGATTCATCGATCCGGATCTGTTTTGGGATGGTTCACTATTGTTGCATGCGTTTTTTTGCCGATTCACTATTTTTTTTTGTATAGTAAAATGATGATCCGGACCTTCTGATTCACCGATCTAGCCCAGTTTTTATGATGTATAATCCGGGCCACCGATTTTTTTTTTAAATCAATGACTGTATAGTGCTAGAAAACATGAAACCAGATCGACACTCGCTATGGTATCGATCTTGAGTCGGGTCTGACATACTTGGTTCTCATGTGTATACTTCCGAGCTCAGCAGAGTACCAAGCTTGAGTGACTCAGGGAGTTCGACTGGACTCACAACGCTTGTATATGATATTAACCATTTTACTTTTGATAAGGATATGCTTGGTAGTGTTTATTGGGTAAGTTGATAGGCTTGGTAGTAATGTGAACTCGATAATGGATTGCTAATTTATGTTTGGGGTTTGGTGTTTTTCGTTCTTTCAGTAAAGAAAGCACGGTAATTTATAAGAACTTCAAACAATTTGCTTTATTCAACTTGGCGTTTCGAGAGTCGGATCGGGCTGTATATTATGAAGAAATAAAAACAAAATTAACCGCACGGGGAACCAGGGTATTTCCATTGTTACTCATCGATATTAGAGCAAGTCCCATTATGAGAATTTGTAAATCATGGATATTGGCTATATTAATTTCAATAAGCCAGCCGAACTCGCCCCTTGGCTCTGACATGGGGGTCCTCCCCCCTGAGATGGTGTATTTGAATTGGGGGAATCACCCCTGGTGGTCATCATGGTCGATGCTCTACAATCGAGTCGGGTGATTTACTGTAGCGACACTCATGATTCTAAAATCGGTTCGGTTACCTATATCTCTTGCCCTAAGTCTTAATTTTTTATTTATTAATACTAATATATCTTAATGCTAGTACACATGTCCATAAAGTTTAGACCTTTTGTTTGATCACTCTCCCAAAAAAAAATTAAAAATAAAAGATTAGTAAAAGAAAAAAAGAGAAGTGTCATTATTACGTATGACCTTTCTTTTCTTTTCTTTTTATTTTTTTTTTTTTTTTTTTTTTTTTGTACAAACAAAACTAATTTTATTACTCAAAAAGGTATTACATAGAGATCAAATAAAAAAAAGAGAAGCATCAACATCCAATTCATCTAACATAGAACCCTATATACCTGTCTGCTACCTCATTGGCCTCTTCGCAAGGGAGTCTGCTACCTCATTGGCCTCCTGATAAACCTGTCTAAAATTAACCTCCAAAACATTACAACTATTTATAATATAAACCTGTCTAAAATTAACCTCCAAAACATTACAACTATTTATAATTTGTAACCACAAAGACTGAAGCTTCCATGCATAGTGCTATAAAGTCCTTCAACCACCATTTAATGAAGCAACCATGCCCTGAAATTGCCATGGGCCATGCTATCAAAGACGCCAATCCACCTTGAACGGCTACAATGTTCCTTCGTTACCACAAGATATGTCAGAAGCCGTCTGATTTTATTTTGCTGAAATCTCCACGGTTAACCTTGTGCAGAGTAACATCCTTGGGGCATGCATTATATGTGAGGGGACTCTGATTATTTAGTGCTTGGCTTATAAATACCAATTGGGTGCGTAGCTTATAAATGCCAATTTGTTCAGCATTATAGTTCTAGTTATGCAAGTGTCCACCTATGCCCAGAACTTGAAGTCATTGGACCAGAAATAAATGTTTATAAGAATTTTAAAACGAGAGCAGCTTAAGGAGAGGTGGTCAAGGTAATAGAGTGTCACAATATGATGTCTTTGAGTTTCATTCAAACATGTATAACTCCATGCCTGATGGTTAAGCTAGTTGGGTTGGTAGTTTCTAGAATTTTTGTAGCCCAAGGAAAGGATAAAATTTATCAAAGTACACTCAACAAATTAACTATTCAACATCTTAAATGTTTTTTTATTTAATTTCAAAATACCTACCAAAATACTCCTGTTTAAATGTTAAAAGATCTGTTTTCTATGCAGCCAAGCCCGCATATGTAGAAATGTGGGCCTGTTAATAAATCTATTTTTTAGATGGATTTAAGACTTAATATTTTTAAGGACATGTAATCTCTAACATAGAGATCATGAATATAAATAAATAAATAAATTTAAAAAACTAGAAATAACAATTCTAGTAAGAAAACATTTGAACTGTCAGTTTCCATTATTTTTAAATGGAACACCTGCTTGCATCCATCTTTAATATGGATGCTTTACACTTTCTAAACTGCATATGTAGAAATGCGGTCCAGTCCACATGAAACTATTTTTCAATATTTAATGTTGTTAAGTTTATCTTGACAAATTTCTCGAATAAAGGAGACAAATGGGTAAGAAATCTACTCGTTTTATTTGAGTGACTCGGATGCCGATTTCAATGGTAGAGTCGAACTAAGTAGTACATGATATTCGAGTCTTAAAAAATTGAAAAACCTCATGAACTGTTTGTTTTTAGTGGAATGTTATCTTGCACTCGGGTAGGGGTTTCAAACGGGTCAAGTTTACCCTTTGACCCAGCAGATAGGGTTACCCAACCCGGGTCTGGGTCTAGACTTGTAAAATGGACCGGACAGGGTAGGGTGACCAACTTGGAAAATTTGGGTCTGATCGGGTCTACCCAACCTGCCATACATACGCATAAAATTTATAATGTTATATTAACTTCATATTTAATTAATATGGTGCCGTTTTTCGTTTTTTAATATGACTAGGTTCCGACCAGACCTGGCCGGTCGACTCTGGGTCCAATTGACTTGAAACCTACCATGGATACGGTCTAACTTAGACCTAGTTGGGTCAGGTTGACCCAACCCAGACCCAAACCTACCGACCCCAGACCAATCCCGAACACATCCGTACATTTGGGAATAGGAAGCGTTTAAATTTTGATGACAATCTCCCTATATGTATGTTGAGAGAGATTTTTGTTGTACCACAATAAGCCATTAGGAATTAGGGCCATGGAGAGTTTGCCCGTCTCTCTCTCCTTTTCTGTTTGGTTTTTCTAAGGTTGAGGCATAGGGCGCATCTCTAAATAGCGTTTAAAGGTGATTTTTCAGTAGC